TTAACCAAGCATTTCAACAACTTGGAGAAACTGGGCCAGGAGGAGGGTGGTGCTCAGGAGGTCAGGGTGTGGGAAGGATCCTCAACAGAATCTCCCTCTTAGTATCCCCTGCTCTGATAAAGCCCCAAGTCCTGGGCTGACTGTAGCTGGCAGAAAAAATTATCTGTGTGTAACTTCTGGCATAGACTCTTTCTCATGAGAAGAAACCCTTAAGTGAGAAGCCAGCTGGCTCCAGGATTTAGATATGGGAAAGTTTGTCTTCTCCCAGCAGAGGAAGGTGACAAAGTGGCAGTCTAGATAGAGTTCATGGTGGGGTGGCATTGCCTCTACAAACACCTCTATGCAGGGAAGGATTTCCAATACCAGATTAACAACATTTTACTAATTGGTTTGCTCCCATCTTGAACCAAATGCAAACTCAGCATCCATTGGGAAGTCTAGGCAGGAGTCTTAGATTATTCTAGCAACAAGGGCTGAGATGTGTGGCCAAACCCATGGATTGGGAAAAGTCACATTGGATGGAGCAACTTTGTTTATATAATTTGCATTTTATATTTTTTATAAGATGTAAGGTCTTGCTCTGACACCCAGGCTGGAGTTCAGTGGTGTCAATCATAGTTCATTGTAACCTTCAACTCTTGGGCTGTAGCTAACCTCTCATCTCAGCCTCCTGAGTAGCTAGGACTATAGGTATATAACATCATGCTTAACTAATTTTTAAATTTTCTTTTGTAGAGAAGGAGTCTTACTGTGTTGCCCAGGCTGGCCTTGAACTCCTGGTCTAAGTTATCCTCCCACTTTGGCTGGGATTATAGGCATGAACCACTCCCCGTGCCCTCCTCCCCTGGCCCCCGCCCCCGCCTCAACATTGGAGCAACTTTGGACTGGGCTTGAGATGCAAGGGAAAACCCAAATGACCACTTACCTTTGGTTCTGTTGTTAATTGCACAAGTAATCCACAATTGATGTAGGAAAATTGGAAAACATAGATAAGGAAAAATAAAATATAAACCACTCTCTCCCTGTCACCCACAGCCAACTACAGTGAATAACTTATATAGGGAGCTTCAAACTCCCTGCCTCCGGAGGCCAACCAGGCCTTGTCAATGGGTGTAACTGAAGTGCCCACTCTGTCTTAATGCACAGCAGCCCCTCAGCTGCGGCTGAAGGCTGCGTGTGGGAAAACTGGCCTAAGGAAGACAGGCCTCTGACTTTACAGCTGAAATTTTCTATTGCAAAATCTTCCAATTATAAAATGTTGGTTTGGCCCATGAACCACAGTTCCGAGCCTTCTGGTTTATATATCCTCCCACTCTTTTTTTTTTGTTTCCTGCCATAGACTCAGATGTGCATGTAAGTGATTGTGTGCGTTCACACGTGGGTGCACAGTGGACGCTTCAGAACCATGTGTTCAGTTCATAACGCCTTTTAACCTATTGTCCCTGCCTCCCCATCCACTAGGGTAGGAAATTCCAACGCAGTCATGTTGGTTAACATGACCCCACCTTCCACCATGCAATTGGACCAACCAGAGAAGTCTTTCCTTGGGAATTTGAATAAGGGACAAGACAGGGAGATTCAGAGTCTCCTTGCAGCTCAGCCTACAACATGGAAAGACAGGCAGGGAGCAGCCATGTCCCTGCCCATGGGCTGGGAAACAAAGGGGACTGAGGGGCCTCCTTAGGTTTTATCCACTCTCCATTTCTTGTTCTGGCACCTGGGCCAGGCCTGGCTGGACCCTGAGACACTCCTGATTTATTCCAATCTGAGTTAGCCTTAATGGACCTCTGGTTCTCCCAACTTAGACAAGTTGCAACTACATAACAAGACATACACACGAGTGTCATAAACAGGGTGTGATACGCTTCCAAATGACATTAGGGGTGCCATCCACCCTCCCCCTCCCTCCACCTGGGGTGTCTCTATTTGTAGGGGAGGAAAGACAATACCTGTGTCGCTTGTGTTTCTTGGAACTTTTCTTCTTCTTTTTCTTGACAGGCGATGGGCTATAGGACGGGGACCTGCCAGGAGAGGGGAGGCATGCTTCAGAGGGAGGCTCTGAAATGCCAGGGTTGGTTTCAAAGGGACCCTTCCCTGGCCCCTAGACAGGGTCTCGGCTCTTACAAACAGACAAAACTGATACTAGCTTGCATTTGTTTGAATCATTATCTTGTGTCTACAAACATTATCTCATTTAATCCTTCCACACACTTCTTAGGTAAATACAATTGCTACTCTCCCTTTTCAGACAAAGAAAGTGAGATTCAGAGAGGTGAAGTAACCTGCCCAAAGATGCATACAGCTAGGAAGTGGATGACCTGGGATTCAAATGGAGACCTCTTTGATCCCAGAAGTTTTGCTCTCAATTTGCATGTCACCCAGAGCTGTCCTCTCAAGTGGCTGCCAAGGCTTCTTTCTGTCTGCTGCTCTCCCCGTGAGCTGCACCCTATTTCTCATAGTCTTTGGGTCTTGCATCCGCCCCTGGTTTTCTCCTTGGTAGGATTAAGCCCTGGAGGAGATCTCATCAGGCTGTAGCAAGAGGGGTGGTGCCATCAAAGGGTCATCTGAGAAACAGAGCTACCCTAGGTCCTTAATGATGCATCAGGACTGGGGCTTGGGTGATCTAAGATGCCATCTCAATTCTACTACCAACTCATAGAGTCACCTTGGACACATCATGGCTCAACTCTAAGTTTCTTATTTCCCCCATTAACCAGGGTTGAAACACATCAGAGGTTGCAAACTCAATGCCAACAGATCCCTGACAGATAACATGAATAAATGATATGGGCTGGGTGGAATACAGTAGGGAGTGGTGCAGACTGCAGTAAACCAGAGATTGCCTGACTAGAGGGGGTGGCACCTTCTCAGATAATCCCAGGGTCCTATGTGGGAATGCAGACCTGGGTTTCCAAAGCATCTATCTTTTCAATAGAAGGTTCTAGAAATCCATACTTACATATGAAATCTCCTAATTTGTAAATGTTGATTGCCAAGTAAAAGACAAAAACACTTTTAAGGTCAAACAAAACATGTGTGCAGAGGAAATGGCTGAGGAGCTATTAAAAAATCATAATATTTGATCCCAAATCTGTGTTCAGTGGATATTTATCAAATGAATTAATGAATTGGTTAGTGAATCCTGATGCCTATAGTTTTTTCTTCTTTGAAGTTTCCTCTGGCCCACCCCTCAAAATCAGGAATCCAAGCCGCTTCTATCTCCTACCCTACAATGATGAGAAGTCAGAATCTCCATTCACATTTCTCTCTGGGTTCCCTTTGAGCCTGTCCTTTTAGAATGAGGTTAACAGGTATCTGTTAAACAAGATTCCGGAAAACCTTGAGTCATCAGGCACTGCTCTCTATTGCCCCCTGCGGGCTTCTATAAATACTGCCTCAGAGGTTTGGTAGGGTTTTTAGCCTGTAGCCCTAAGGCTCAAGCCCGCTTCTCTGGGGCTGGTACACTAGGCATGCTTTTAATTTAGTTAGTGGCAATCTGCAAGCAAGTATGGAAATTCTTTTTTTTTTTTTTTTGAGATAGAGTCTCACTTTGTCACCCTTGGTGGAGTGCTGTGATGCCACGCCAACCTCAAACTCTCAGGCTCACATGATCCTCTTGCCTCAGCTGCCCAACTAGATGGGACTGCAGGTGCCCACCACAACACCCAACTAGTTTTAGAGATGGGGTCTCACTCTAGCTCAGGCTGTTCTCAAACTCCTGAGCTCAGGCAATTCACCTGCCTTGGCCTCCCAGAGTACTGGAATTATAGGTGTGAGCCACTGTGTCTGGCCCAGAAATGTTTTAAAATATAAAATATTTTAAAAGGGGCTCAGTGCCTGTAGCTCAGAGGCTAGGGCGCCAGCCACATACACCGAAGCTGCAGGGTTCAAACCCAGCCTGGGCTGCCAAACAACAATGACAACTACAACCAAAAAAAAAAAATAGCCGGGCATTGTGATGGGCGTCTGCAATCCCAGCTACTTGGGAGCCTGAGGCAAGGGAATTGCTTAAGCCCAAGAGTTGGAGGTTGCTGTGAGCTGTGATGCCATAGCACTCCACCAATGGCAACACAGTGAGACTCTGTTTAAAAAAAAAGATATTGTAAAAGGAATTGTACATAGAGAAAATGGTAGGAAAGAGTCAATTGCAGACAGAAAGATATAAAGTTTATTAACTGGGGCATTTATCTTGGATTGGGGGGGTTCCCTCTCTCTAAGCCTTTCTTCTCTCATTTCTGAAATAGGGCCAATAATGCTTGCCTGGTGGTCAGAAGTGAAAGAGGTAATGGAGATCACAGCATGTCAATAGCCCTTGGCTACTGTGTTAGTTCTCTAAAATAATTAGGTATTCATGCTAAAGATTATGCTTCCTGTTAATTAATCATTTACTGTGCAGCCCATACTGTGACAGCTGCTTCCAGATCTATTGCTCATCTAATTTCCACATATTCTTAAGAAGTAGATGTTATCCCCATTTTGTTGATATGAAAACACAGGCACAGAGAGGTAAAGTGACGTGCCTGAGGTCACACAGCTAGTCAAGTGGCAGAGAGGGGGTTTGAACCCCAGAGGAAGTCACTGTCTGACTTCAAACCCATCTCTCAGGTTTACCTCCCGCTTCGTGCACTCACCTCCTTCTCTTCTTCCGAGTGGATTTCTTCTTTTTCTTCTTCCCCCTGGAGGAAGGCGGTGGTGTCAATTCTTTGTCCCGGGAGGCACTACAAGAAAGAAAGAGTTGGGCATTAGAGAACGCAGAGTTCCCCAACCCCCAACCAGGGGTGGCACAGCTGGGGAAGGACCCAGTTCCTTGGAGGATCGAGGACTCATAGTTAACGTCTAATTACCACCTCACGGCGGATTCGGTCACACTTCAAGATTAAACGCCTCAAATAAGGACTTAATGCCGACCTAATGAGACAGACGCTGTATGTTACCCAAACACCAATTGATTATTTAAAACAGAGTTATAGAGGTTAACTACTCCTTAATAGATTTATTATTGAATTTGCAAATGGCTCACCTTGGTAAATAAATCACTTTTTAAATAATTAATAGGAAGTTCTTCCCTCTCCCTCCCCAATACAACGTGTCTGTAGTTCGTGCTGGAAATTTAATAGGCATCGGAAGGTATGTTAAATAGCAGCTGATTATTAAAAGTATATTTGCCAAGGTCTAATGTAACGAGATACATATCTTATATTGCTTCACAGAACCTCAAAAACCTCTGCTCTTCAAGAATAATTATTTCCTGTTCAATTAAATTCAAATGCTCAAGCTGCAGTTAAATGAAGTCAAGTTATCTCTTTTCATAATTGGGGCAGGCTCCAGGGATTTTTAAAAACACTATCCCATGGCAAAGAGAGATGGTTTTGGATAAAAAACTGCCTTGGAATTGAAGCAGGCCAACTCAGTCGAACCTCATTGGGAAAATATCATCTTACTAATAATATTATTGTGATCATTTTAGTAGCAACACAATTAGCATTGTGCCAAGTGTTTTATGTATTGTAATACTCACAAAACACTTTGAGAGTGGTATAATTTTTATTGTTTCATTTTACGGGTGAAAAAACTGAGGCTTAGGAAGTTTACTTAACTTACCTTCTGGCCACACAATTAGAAAATCTCCAAGCCGGGATTTGAACTCAGGCCTGTGTGAACTTTCCCCACATAACCCGCTGCCTTCTTGAACTTGTCTGTGTGGCCAGCCATCTGGTAATTACCCAGCTCTTTACAGAACATCACGAAATACCGCCATGTTTAATTCCATTTTAAGTCTCTGGGTCATTATGATTAGTAGAAAGAATGACAAAGTGGTTAGAACGTATGTTGAGTTCTCTGTGTCTCTAATAAATAAGAAGCCTGTATCTATAATGTTTCAAAAGAGTCACTTTTAGCAGGCTAAAAATACTAAATAAATGTAATAGGCATTAAGTACGTCTCTACTTAACTGCACTCAGGCGGAGACCAATAGGTGTTTGTATAAACATGGCAAGCCATTTCCACATTTTTCCTGCAGAAAGCACTGGACATGGAGCAAAAGCCTAATAAACGTTTGTTAAGTGACCACGTGATGGATGAATGAATGAAATCATTCAGCTACTTGTTAAATCACCTCATTTCCTACAAACACCTCCAAGTGAAACAGCTGCCAGGAACGTGAGGGTTAAAACAAAAGAAGGGATAAAAACCTCAAGGGGGGAAAAAAAAAACTTTTTGCAAATGTCTTATAAAAGGAGGAAAGGTCCCATTGTACTCCAGCTTCTGGAACCCCAGGGCCCCAGGGGAGCAGGGTTTGAGAACCACTGTCCTAGGCTCAGATTTAAGCAATCGGGTCAAACCGAGAAATCTCGGAAACTGGATAGATTTGAAGTCTGCCTTTAACCCAGCAGGTCTGCGTTTCTTCTCTTTCCTTCCCCTGCACCTGCTCTCCTAGGTGTGCCATCACAGAGGGGCTGGAGGGAGCAGAAGAGAGTTAGCACACCTGGTTATGTGTGCAGGGGTCAAGCACACAATGTTTACGGACGCTGCAGTTCCGTTTACAGTGGTCAAGGACAGTGATAAGTAATGCGGCCGTTAAATATGCACTGGCTGAGTTCCCAGTGGTTAAGTTTGTAGTGATTAAAAATGCAGTGGTTTATGTACGCACTGGTGGGGTATGCAGAGGTTAACTGCAGTGATTAGGTGCTCAGTGGTTATGTATACAGTGGCTGAGCATGCAGTGATTAAGGGAATGGTGGTTACGTAACCGGCAGTAAGGAACGGTGGCTCAGAACAGGCACACCCGGATTTAAAGTCTGTCTCTCCTACTGTTTAGCTCAGAGACTTCTCTGAGTCTCTTTTTCATCTTCTACAAGATGGGAATAAACATGAGATCTGTGCCCTAAGCTTGTTGCCAGGAATAAAGGACCCAACTTCGGTAATATGCCCTAGTCTGACACAGAGTGCACAGTAAAAGGGGCTTCTGTTATTATATTATAATTATTATGACTTCTATTATCCCTGTTATGACTGTCATTATTGTGGTTTCCTCACCTCAGAGGGCCAGTTGCAGACACCACGTAATCAAGTTGGCGATATAGCATCTTTTTTCAGAGTTTCACACCCAGAGCCTTCTCTTCTGATTCTGTGATACTGTAACATTTTTTGAGAACTTCTATATTCTAAATCCACTGCCAGGATCTGTAAATGCCCGATCTAATTTAGTCCTCACCCTGACTTTGAGCATTAGAGCTCAATATTCCCATTTTATAGTTGTGAATACTGAGGCCTGGGAAGGAAAAGGAACTTGCTCAAGGTCGCTCTGTTAGTAAGTGGTAGGGTCCAGATTTGAACCACAGATTTCTCTCTGGCCGTCTAGGAGATAATGATTCTAAAATATGGAAATTCCTTTTCTCTTCCCCTTTCTCTCCATCTTCCTGAACCTTTCATGGAAACACCTTTCTTTTTATTTTTCTAGAGAGAACTCTCCAGATCTGAAGCTGAACTTCACTTTTCCAAGGTGATAGAATTTAACTGTTTTTCTTTGAAATCATGGCCTAGCTAAAGTCTGCAGCCGAGATGGCAGCCTAGGTGGCAGGGCAGACGGTCCCCGTGAAAGTGACTTCAGCTTCCTAAGCCACTTCTCCCATGTTCTGTAACCACATCTCCTAGAACCAGATTTTCCCAGAGGCCAAAGAAGGGACCAAGCTTTATATACGTGTGTGTGTGTGTGTGTGTGTGTGTGTGGTACAAAATGGAAAAATAGAAGGCAACGATCAATTGATTTTTTCATTATCACCAACAGGATAATGTGGTAAATTTTAGTCCAGGATTTAAGATCAGAGAGACTGGAGTTCAAAACTTCACCCTGCCCCTTATTGGCTACCATATTTTGGGCACATTATTTTATCTCTCTGAGCTCAGTAAACACATATATAGTGACTGTTGTATACAGATGCTAGCACGATGCCTAAGACACAGTAGGCACTCAGAAAGTACTGGTTGGATGACTTAATTAAGGAATAAATATGAAGATCTGGAACTCTGTGCTGAAATCATGATTTGGAAGTAAGTGGTTCACAGAGTTATGAAAATGGAGTGGAACTTGTAGCATGGTGGCTCACACTGGTAGTCCTAGCTACTCTGCTGAGGCAGAAAGGATTGCTTGAGCCCAAAAGTTTGAGGCTACAAACTCAAACTCAAACTCGTAGCATATTCTATGGTCATACCTCTGCACTCCAGCTTCAGTGATAGAGTGAAAAAAGAAAAAAAGAGAGAACTCTGTCAATTAAGGTCAGGGTCAACAAACTAAGGCCCATAGGCCAAACCTAGCCTGCCTCTTGTTTGTATGAAATTCTATTGGGGCACAGCAATGCCTTCTTGTTTGAATATGTTTCTGGTTGTTTTATCAAGAAGTAGTATGTTTATCATGCTACAATGATAGAATTAAGTAGTTAAGAAGCAAACCATTGGGTTGGCTGGGCCTCGTGGCTCACACCTGTCATTCCAGAACTTTGAGAGGCCATGGCAGGTGGATTGTTTGAGCTCAGGAGTTCAAGACCAGCCTGAGCAAGATCCAGACCCCATCTCTACTAAAAATAGAAAAAAAACTAGCCAGGCATTATAGTGGGTGTTTGTATTTCCAGCTACCTGAGCCCAAGAGTTTGAGGTTGCTGTGAGCTATGATGCCATGGCTTTCTAACCTGGGTAACAGAGTGAGACTCTGTCTCAAAAAAAAAAAAAAAAAATCATTGGTGATTTGGCGCCCGTATCACAGTGGTTAGGGAGCCAGCCACATACACTGAGGCTGCCGAGTTTGAACCCGGCCTGGGCCAACTAACCAACAATGACAACCGCAACAACAACAAAAAAATAGCCAGGCATTGTGGCGGGTGCCTATAGTCCCACCTACTTGGGAAGCTGAGGCAAGAGAATCACTTAAGCCCAGGAGTTTGAGGTTGCTGTGAGCTGTGATGCCATGGCACTCTACCAAGGGCAACATGGTGAGATTTTGTCTCAAAAAAAAAAAAAAATCACTGGGCCCACAAACCTAAAGTATTTACTATTTTTACCACTACAGAAAATATTTACTGATCCTTATTGAAAGGTCTGAAAGAAGAATTTATAAAAGAAAGAGAGGAGAAGTGGGGAGAGAAGTGAACTTCATTTTTATGTCCTCAGCTTGGACTTCCCTGGTGGATCTTACCTGCGTGCTCTGGTGAGACACAGCTCCCGAAAGGCCTTGTCTCTCTCCCAGCTGTTGGTGCCCAAGGTCTCTGTGGCCAGACGCTGACCCAGCTTTTCTGATGGTCCATCCTGAGCTGAAACCACAGGGCTGCTCTGGGGCTCTGCCCTACAGGGGAAGAAATAAGGAGGCAAAAGTGTTAGGGTATAGAGAGACACTTAATGCTCATAAATATGCATACATCGCCTGAGATTTCCCAGCTTCCCTGGTTAGGTTGAGGCCATGGCATTATCTTTGGCCAGTATTCTCTGGCTGGGAAGGAACAGATATTATTTCCAGGTCAATGCAATCAAGATCCATATGCCTTCTCCTGCTCTCTCTTCCTCTCTCATGGTGACTTTGAAGAGCACATATTCTGGAAGGTAAACCTACTTGATGAAAGAAAGGTACCCGAAACACATCAGACTTTGCAAAAGAGAAATAAACCCTGATGAGGTTAAACCACTCAGATATAGGTCTGTTTGTCATTGCAGCATAACCTATCTTATTCTGACTAAATCACAGGGAGATGCTGGAAACCAGAATTTCACTTCCTTTCTCAAGATGAAATTGGAGGCCAGGGCATGGCAGGATTAGTGTAAACTCTTTTTTTCTATTTTATTCCATTTCTTTCCTTACCTGTGTATAGACCAAATATACCCAGATTCAAACACTGTCATTAGCATTTAGTAGCTGTAGAACCTGGGACCAGCCACTTAACATCTCTGAGTCACAGTTTCCTTAGCTATAAAAAGGGGAATAATATTAGTCCATGTATTGTCAAGCTGTTGTGGAGATAATATGAGATAATGTATACAAACAGAAAGACCCCCCCAAAATGTCAGTTTCCTTTGTTTTGACCTCCTTGTGAACCGTATCTTCAGTATGGTGTCCTCAGTGAATATAGGGCTACCTGTTTAGAACAGCAATTCCCGTGAAGGCTGAAGTTCACTTCTCTGCCACTGACATAAGAGCTCCAAATAATACTGGAGAGTTACTTATGAGTCCCACCTGTTTCCTGCAGTCTTTGAGAAGGAAGAGAAGTGGCCTAGTTACTCAGGATTTGAAGAGACTGTCACTCAAATTCCTGGCTCCTAAACAGGAAGAGTCAGCACTCTGAGAGTCACAGGTGTATTTGGTACTATCCAGTGAGAACCTACTCTTCTTGTCTTCAGATCCCAGGTCAGGCATTGATCAAAGGCATTAGCATTTCTCATGCACCAAGTTCCTGCTTCAGAGCATTAAGGTTGGTTTTAGGTCTCAGGATTAAGGCATCTGATAAGCCCCCTGATCCTCAGAGACTCTAAGGGAGCACGCCAAGCTCAGTCGATATTGAGGGAAGGGCAGCAAAACACGTCCATCTCTGCCAGCCACTGATCAGTGTATCTTTAGAGGCAGAGCTGGGAGGTACTGCAAGCCCAGGAGGGATGGAGATTCTAATTAGGACTTCCTAGCCTTCCTTTCTGCCAAGTGCATGCTTCTAAAACTCCCTTCCATCCTGCTGAGCTTCATTTTTTTCTCCATATACCTCCCTGCCCCATGTCTCCTACTATGAGGATCTGATTCCCATGCCTTTGCTCCTGTCCATCTAGCTGTATGGAATTCTGGCTTGGCTCTTGTCAGACAACTCAAAGCTTGTGATTTCTGCCAGCCTCCAGCAAGGCTTACCTCTTCCCATACTCATTCTAGGCTAAACTGGTTCCCTAACTCTAATTCCTTGAGAGTCTACACTTTGTTTTAAGTGTGGGGATGCAGTGAAGAACAGTAATCCTGTGATCACTGAGTTTACATCTAGATGGGGGAGCAGATAATAAACACATAAGCAAGAGAAAATATGGCTTGCTGAATGGTAATAAATTCTCTCTTACGGTGAGAATAAGGCAGCATACAGGGCTAGGAAATGGAAGGGGCAGCTGCTACTTTGTTTATAATAAGTAGGGGAGGCCCTCCTAGGGAGTAACAAGGGAGTAGAGACTTGAAAAATTTGGAACTAGCTGTAAAGTTTGGGTGATTCAGAAATATGGTCACAGAGTCTTTGACACACTGCCATCAAATCAATAGATCAAAAGATGTAAGTTCATTTTTCTCCCCTTGAATCTTGGATGAACATAGCTCACTTTTAATGAAAAGAATGTAGTGATAGAAGTGATAATACATAACTTTCAGATTGATATTTCTGGGGGAAGTCAGCCACCATATTGTGAGGACACTCAAGTAGTCCCACAGAGAGGCCCAGGTGAAGAAGATGTAAGGCCTCCTGTCAACATTTAGCATCAATTTCCCAGCCATGTGAGTAAGATGTCTTGGAAGTGGATCCTCCAGCTCCAGCCAAGCCTTCAGATGAAACTGCATCCCTGACTGGCATCTATCTGACTGCAACTTCATGAGAGGTGATAAGAACCACTCAGCCACATTCCTGACTCACAGAAACTATGAAATATAATAACTGTTCACTATTGTTTTTAGTCAAAAGGATTTGGGGTAATCCGTTGCACAGTAATATATAACCCTGCACAGGTATCTATGGGAAGTGGGAAGTGTGCTGCAGGCAAAAGAAATAGCACATTCAAAGACCCTTAGCATCCACAAGGAAGAGCAAACAAGGGCTAGCGTGGGAGGAGGTTAGACATGAGAACAGGTCATTGAAGGTCATGGGAAGACCTTTGGGTTTTCTGTAGCTGAGATGGGAAGGCTTTGAAACAGGAGTGATCGAGTCTGGCTTACATTTTTGAGGAATCACTCTAGTGGTCAAGGGACACTAGATTGAAGGGAGGAAAGGTCAGAGACAGGGAGACCACTGCAATAGTCCATGCTCATATCAGTGTACTAGCAGCAGAGCTGGTGAGATGTGGTGGGATTCTAGGAGATTTTGAAGGTAGTGCTAACCTCATTTGTTTCTGGTGAAACGTAGGAAGCAAGAGATTACGGAAGGAGGAAGAGGCAAGGGTGACTTTAAGGTTTTGAACCCAAGCAACTGGAAAGAATGAGTCTCCACTGAGAAGATGAAAGAAATGACGTAGGGAGCAAACTTTTGGGGAGATCTAACCTCTTTCCTTCACTCCCTTAACAACAGGTCTTAATAATATATGTTGTTATCATTTAATTATTTTTTTCATATTTGGACTCCCTGAGAGTATAACATCTCTTACTGTCCAAGAACTTTCTGCTTGGTAAACACTTGGCAATATTTGTTCAATGAATCAATAAAGGAGCTAATGGATCGGCCAAAGAAAATATTTGTTTTGAAAAGTTAGAAAGGGCTTTTGAGATGCTTTGGACTAATCCCTTCATGTTACAGTTGGTGGGAATGGAAGCCCATAGAGAGTAATTAACCCAGCCAATGCCTCAGTGTACTCAGACTGCTGAGTAGACTTTCTTTCAGAAAAGTGATCAACTTTTAAAAAATTAATTTATATATTGTCTAGGAACTCCTTGACACATAAGACATTCCACTCCCACTGAGGCTTGCTCATATGACCGGCAAGCTGGTACTGGCTGTTGGCAGGAGGTCTCAGTTCTCTGTGGGGCTGCTTGAGGGTCCTCACAAAATGGCGTCTGGCTTGTCCCAGAATAAGCAATCTAAGAAAGCAAGGCAGAAGCTCCTTTTGTGACCACATTGATTGAAAGTCATATGTTATCATTATGTCAAGATGGAGATACCCAAGAATGGAATATTGAACTCTCAGGGGCATTATAGGAAAACAAGACACAATGGTATATCAGAAGCAATCCCATGGCAGGCAAAACTTAGAGGTGATGCTTGGCATTTACAGGTAACAAATACATGGTGAGTCGTGTTGGCTTGGGTAGAAGGTCTCAGTGACTTGTCTAACACAGGCAGCAGAGGCATGGGTTATCTAAAGTGTGGCAGATGCTGATGGATGCTGCTGCCAGAGCACTGGGGCACAAGAATTAGGATGAAGATGATGCCTCATTTATCATTGCCAGCAGTGGGGGTCAAAATCAAAGACAGGGAAATACCATGATTTGGTGAGGAAAGATACAATGGGGTTGCAGAAATTTGCATTTTTCTTTTTCTCCAGTAGTACTGGTTTCACATTCTTGGGGTATTGGTATTTGGGATTTTGGACTAAAATAAAGAGAAATACAACTAATTCTACCAGGCAGACAGGAAGTTCTGGGGTAAGGAGGAAGGGACTTCTCCGTAACATAACATTTACAGTCTTTTTTTCAAAGTGTTCCAAGACTTTGCTTCTTGGCTTTCTTAAAACTAAAAGAGACACAGAGAACATGGAGTCCCAGGTTTCCAAGCCTGGCACTGATCAGAGCCCTCCAAGAAACTTAGAAAAATACAGATTCCTATGTCCCATCCTAGATATAAAGGTCAAAATCTAGAAATTTGCAGCTGAAAGGACTATCCCAGGTAACTCATCCTTCCATTGGATCAAGAACAAAATCCAAATTAGTCCTTATTGCCAGTACTAAAAGATTCTGCATGATCTAGCAGCCAATTCTACCAGAAGTCTCCACTCTGCGTCTAATGCCATCTTATATTCTTTTTTCCATCACTCATGCTGTTCTGGCCACATGGCCTCTTTGCAGTTCCTCTAATGGGTGAAATGTTTTTCCTGCCTCAGGGCCTTTGTTCTTGCTCTTCCCACTACATGGCATGCTTTCCTTCAGCTGACTGCATGGTCAGCTCTTTCTTTATGCAGATGTCACTTTCTCAGAGACCCCCCTCCCCGACCCTCTTATTTTATCTTGCTCCCCTCATCATGTGTGATGAAAGGGAGTTGCAGTAACCTGCTGTCTTTCTCAGAGCATTTGTTCCTATTTGAAATGACTGTTTTGAAATCGCCAACCATTTGCCTTCTGGACTAGACCACAAGTGGCATGAGAGGGAGAAACAGTCTTTTCTCACCCTGAGTCCTCAGAGGTGACACAGACAGTGCCTGACAATAGTGTAGCTTTTTGTTCATGGAATGTTTGTTGAAAGAATGAACAAATGAATGAGTGGGAAGATGAACAAATGAATTCTGATTATCGATCCCATGTGGGAACCACAGATGAAGATTCAAATTAAGAAGCAGAGGACCAGCCCGAGGCCACCCAGCACTTCTGTGGAATCCATCTTCGGCCAGGGCCCTCACCTCCCCACAGCCACACCC